CCCCACCCCCACCCACTCCCCCGCCGCCAATGCACTTTCTTCGAAACCAAATTTTCTTTATTCCTGCATCACTTTCTCCATGCCAATTTCGAAGTAGTTTATTGATTGTGTCAGTTAGTTAGCCTGCGTGATTGGACCAATGATATTGGCCGAAATCACGTCATTCGTTTGTTGATGCTGTGAAAAGTCAACGCTCTGCCTGTGCAAATCAAATAATAAAATACATATTATTTGTAAGATACCTCGTCTTTTCCCTCCTCTACTGCTTACAGAAAATGTATGCTTTCAACGCAATGCAAGAACAGTCGATTTAGGAGGTAGTAATTAAAGAATACCCGAATCTTCCTGTCTCGAAAATAAATTTAATTTATGCGTAATATTTGCATGATTAATCGAATGAAGGTAGGCTATCTTTGTTTGGGAGAGGGCTGAGGAAAGAAAACGGGTTTTCCCTTTGAGCAATACCTGTTAATGGCAGAGTTAAGTGGATTTATCTTCAAAAATATTTATTTATTTCAAACGGCAGGCGTTTTGATAGATATCATTAGCCCTTTAGCTGACTTCGGGCTTCACAGAGGGTATTAGCCCTTTAGCTGACTTCGGGCTTCACAGAGGGGAGGAGGAACAGGCAAAGTCACAAATAGTTGAAATGGAGAACAGAAGAGTGATTCACAGATGTAAAAGAGACAAACAGACACAAAGGCAGAGAAAAGGTATGGTGAATAACGTGGAAGTGGTCGAATGTGACATACAGTCCGATCATGGTAGTTTAAAGTCAGAAATCAACTGCCGGTGAATAGACTTTTTTGCCGTATGAGTATACGTTGTCCATGGTGCACCACGTGAAGGTAAGTCTTTCGCACACCCCAGACTCCAAAGAGTGAAGGCGTTTTAGCCGAATAATCTGATATGATATGAAATCAGTTTAATCTAGGCCTAGCGGTTATAATGACTAGAAATTACGTTTCTGTGTAGTACAGTTTAGGTGCATTGAGGGTGCTGACATCGCAGCAGTTAACATACATGTCTATAAGGTCAAAGGTCACTGGTTTGATGCCCATCGGCATCTATCCAATGGGCGGTGTGGCTGACAGCATTGGATAAGTCTAGCTAATAGTGAAAATGACAGCATTCATGACACTCACACGAGTGCTTTCATAACACCAAAAGTTTTCCTTAATATGAGAATACAAAAAACAGAAGTTAGATTGTAATTTAATTGCTTTTAAGCTTATAAAAACTTAATGCTTTCTCGTTGCACTTGGTCGGAAAAGTTTTAAATGCCTTTAGAGGTAATAAACTGGGCTTCAAGGTCTTTCTATGTACCAATAATAAAACAATTACAAATGCATCAGAGATCATGAGATGAATAGCCTCGTTGATCCCGATTTAGTGGAGGTGTATTTTAATGTGTGACCCCCCCCCCCCCCTATAAAAGCAGTTCCAGAACCTTGCCCCCTCCCCCACCTCCACCCTCCTATCGATGTCAAATGTTTGAGGAAATTTTCTGTTCTCAATAGACTTGGAATTTTTCTTGTGGATCGCCTGTCCTATGATTGCTTTCCTCATTATCCGAAATTTTTACAGTCCATGCAACTCCAATAGTTCATCTCGTTGTGATTATCAACTTTCGATCGGTTGAAGGCGCTTAAAAATTAGTTCCTTCAAACACTCCGATTAAATTACATATTGTTATCTTTTGAGCTTTTTTCATTTTTTTCCTAAAACAGGTTTCTTTCAGAGTCAACATTTGCGAGAAGACCAGATTTGAAAAAAAACAATCGATACCTAGTACAATACTTCATAAACTCGTCACTTATTTTAGAACAAAGAAAATCACTATTTTGGTCTTGTTTTTTTCTCCTTTTATAAAATAGGTCTTACAATTTTATTTCTGGCAAAGAAAAAACATCTGCTATTTGATTTCTTATTCCAATTTTACGGGTTCGCCTTCTGCCTCCTAAAATGGGAAGAAAACAAACAAATAACTTGATAAAGTAAACATTTTTTACATCCGAAATAATCTTCTATAGCAATAAGAATTTAACAAAAAATTATATATATATATATATATGTTTCTTTGTTTTTCTTTTCGAAAATAGTAGCCTTAGTGAATGTTTACTCTGAACGGAAAAGAAATAGAAGCATATATATATATATATATATATATATATATATATACTTGGGTTGGACGATAGACTTACCTCCACGTGGTGCACCCTGGGCAACGTATACTCATATGGCAAAAAAGTTCATTAACTGGCAGTTGACTTTTAACTTCAAACTACCATGACCCGACTGTATGTCATATTCGACCCCTTCCACAGTATTCAACTCACCTTTTATCTGCCTTTGTGTCTGTCTCTTTTACATTTTTAAACACTCTTCTGTTCAACCCCCCTCTCGACTTTTTTCGATTTGATGTTCCTCCTCCGCCTCTCTGTGAAGCCTGAAGTCAGCTAAAGGGCTAACAATAGCTATCAAAACGCCATTCATTTGAGATAAATAAATAAATTGATAAATATATATATGCAAAGGCTGAATACTTCTTTTGAAACGACTAAAGTTGCCATCCAATTGTCCAAATCATCTCGTTTTAGGACATGATATTGAATAATAGCCAATGCTATTGCCACGGGGATTAAAAGGAGGATGAAAGAATATCGACTCGTTAGGCAAAGTCTGGAATAAAATAGGCATTTTATTACAAATTTTAATCGAATTTAATTTCAAGGTAATTTAAGAGGCTCTGCCTACTCGCTCTTCCAGTCTTGAGAGCAAAAGACAAGTGAGAAGATGGTTGAGATGGCGAACGCAAACAGCCAAAGCGCGAATGCCATCTTCGATTTGGTGGTTGAATCCGGATCACTTTCATCAAGGCCAAACATCTGCATTTTCGTTTGAAGCTAATTTCAAAATTTTTTTCCATGAGGATTTGTGTGACTCGGGGGTGAGGGGTAGGGGGTGGGGAGGGGTATAAATTTTAAAGTGTTGATTTTATGATAATAATTTTAACTAACTGACTGATTATTTGTGCATTACTGCGTCCAAATTTCTTAATGGAGTAAAAGGGAACTTACTTGACTGGTGTCTCAATGTCAAATGTGTGGAACTTGGTGATTGACTTTGAGTCGTCTGTTATACTCGAGTCTATATATGTATATAGCTGCCTAAGACCGAGCCTCTTAAATGAAGTGGATCAAGGTCCAAACATTTTGAGTGTGCTTCATCTGAATGACTAATTACCCGCTAGAATGTTTGACTTAGAAAGGATGACAAACTCTGTTAATTAAAGCTGACTTTATGTCGGATACACACACCTATTGCAAATAAGAAGCCCCCCTATGCAACCACTGTTCTCAACTAGTTCTATGGCTCTTCTAAAGTCTAAGGTGTTCCTTAAATCGTGAAATTGGGCGAAGTAGTTGAATCGGAAGATCGCTTCGCTGGCAATGACCCTCAGAATGAACTTGCAGTGCTCAGAACTAGGATAGAAATCATCTCGAAATGGCGCAAAGCTTCGCAGAGCCCACTCTTCTGGTTATGCCCCTTATTACTTCGTTGAAGCAATCTTTGCTTTATAGGGGGTGTGGGATAGACTTACCTCCTCGTGGTGCACCCTGGGCGACGTATACTCATACGGCAAAACAGTCTATTAATCGGCAGTTGATTTCTCACTTCCAACAACCATCACCTCCACTGTATGTCATATTCGATCCTAACACAGTACCCATCTTACCCTTTCTGAGCCTTTGTGTCTGTTTGTTTCTTTTACATCTATGAATCATTATTGTGTTCCCCCTCGCCCCTCGACTTTTTGTGACTTTGTCTGTTCCTCCTCCCCTCCGTGAAGCCCGAAGTCAACTAAAGGGCTAATGATAACCATCAAGACGCCTGCCATTTGTTTTAAATAAATAAATCTCTGCTTTATAACTATAAAAGATTTCATGCAAAACGAGGCTCCTCCTTGAACCCAGTGTTTGCGTCTTTATTGTCCATTGACGCACAACTGGAGAGCTGAATGCCAGATGAAAGCTGAGGTAACGGAGTTTGAGTTTTGTGCTGTGGTGCCTACTCAATCCAGGATAAGCGTTGGATTGCAGTTTAGGTTCATTACCTAAGGGTTTATAACTCTGTACCATTCAAATTATTGGTAGTATGTATAGCAAATTTGAAAATAAGGGAAACACGTGATCAGTAGTTGAGAATGGTATACGTACCAACATTCTACCTAAACTCTTGAAACTAATACTGAAATTTTCGGATTTAGAAGCGAGCCTTTAGTAGCTATTTTATGTAAAGGAGGGATAAAGGTTCTCTTCAAGGCTATCTCGATCGAAAAAGTCACTTTCAATCGATTATTTCTCACTAGCCATAACCAATTTGGCCAGTAATTTTCGTTGTCATAGCGAAGCAAATTAGTAAGCGATTCATCGCTGTTCACCGATGACAGATGTCATGGTCAAAGTGTTCATTTTTTAACCACTTAATTTTAATAAGTACAATTGTATTACAGCAAATTGATTTTGAACAATTTTTACCAGCCTACAAACTCCTCAACTTACTTTGTGATAATAGCAGAAGATAATGTATGATTTCAATTTTAAATGACACTGATTGTTGAAATTTTTATTTTATTGAGTCTCCCCAAGAAAACCACTGAGTTAATTAGGGTGTGGGACACCTTATCGCTCTGTGCGTCATCGTATGCCTGCATGTCTGCTCGCCAGGATTGGGAGGTGCGCCGTAAAACTCTGTGTGCATCGACTGTACAAACAGTGACCAATCATTAACCTCTGTTTAACCTAATCCCCCATCCTGATCATGAGTAGCTCCATGTGTGTACACGTTATCCGCAACACTCGTACTGAAAAACGTGCTCCGTGCTACACGTCTGTTTCCTTGATAGCTGGGCTATAGCTAAGCTGTTTCTGGGAGTCAAGCTAGATGTAGGAGAATTCTCCGTGCTACTCGTCTGTTTCCTTTATAGCTGGGCTATGGTTTAGCTGGTTCTGGGAGTCTAGCTAGATGTAGGAGAATCTCCCTGGTTCTGGGAGTCTAGCTAGACGTTGGAGAATCTGCCGGTTCTGGGAGTCTAGCTAGATGTTGGAGAATCTGCCACAGTTGAGTCGGTCAGGCTTTACTAGCGTAGCAATCCGCTACAAGGGAAGACAACAGTGTGCTGTCGCAATTTTGAAAGACGGACATTTTGCTTTAAGATTTAATCTTGTTTTTTCCATCTTTTGGGAAGGAAACTCCCACATCCACATCCGCAGAGAGAGATAAAATGCGCTATTTTATTAAGACGATTGCCTAAAGCTACATCCATGATGTGCTGCCTTGTCGCACAGGACTAAAATTGTCAAAAAAACAATATGAAATGGGAGGGATTCTGCTCACAATACCTCCTGGTAGTTTTCATCTCTGTGGAATAAAAAATGCACTCCAATAGGCACTTAACCTTTGCGGAGAGCCACAAACGCGGACACCCTCTTTGCTAACTTTACGTCTCCCTCGAATTCAAATGCTTCTTCTTTGGATGAAAGGAGGTGAATCGATTTTGTCCAGTCAGTCTAAGTAGACTTAACACTAGAAATGGCATATCGATTTTTCAAAACGAACACTCGTCTCCTCATTTTCTAGTTGTGAAAGTAGTAGGAGCCAATGAAAGTCATTGATCAGAAATTTGCCACTATCCTACATTATTGACCAACCCGATCCTAGGCAAAGATTTGCCCGAAGTCCCCTGGCACACACCGAGATGGAAACAATGACAGAGCACCTTTAAACTAAAACTATGGTGATCGTATTCCTAACCCGTTCAAAGAAACCCCGCACATCCCTACCTAATCTGTCAGTATATGCTTTCAACACTATTGCTCCCCCAAAATCTTGTCCCTTTCGTACACTGCAACACGATGCAAATAGCAGCAAGGCAGAAAGGCAATATATCTTGCACAGACTCTTTACTTCAGGCCCCTAAACCCCCTCGCACCAATAGAAACGCCTCAACCAAAAAGAGAGGCATCAGTTGTCAGTACTTATAAACCAACTTCACATACACCACATCAAAAAGACAAGTGGATGTGTGCCACAGCGAGGCAAGAATGGGATGGGGGAAGGATGGGGAATGACAGATTGGACACAAGAGGGAGGAAAAAAGGATTGGGATGAGGACACTACAGTCCATTATCACTTAAGTGACAAGAACACCAGAGGATGCGGAGGCACCCGAGGACTTTCCATCGGCACCTTCACTATCATTGCTCTTTTTGCGGGTATCACCGCCTGATTGATGACTATCGTCGCCATCTTCTTCGCCAGCTAATCGGATCTTGTGTTCCTCTTTGTACACCTGCAACTCCATACCCTTCTCATCAAACTGACGTCGCAGTGCTTCCAGAGCTTCCGACATCTAAAAGGAGGCAGCAGAAAAATCACAAGTCACCGCCTAAGAACAACACTAGTATCATTGTTTTATATAAGTTTGTGATCTCGCTTCCATTAACATAACTGAGTCATTTACTGCATCTACTGGTAGTGCAGAGTCAACGTGAATAGAATGTTTGTCGAGAATTTCGCAAGCGCAAACAGATGGTATGCAAAGTCAGAGATTATGCACTTAATTATCACTAGCAAACAATGAAAGAGAGCGGAAGAATCAACAATTATGATTAAGTCTGAACAATAAAGGTGATAGAATTCGAGTGTATTACTAGAGACGATAAAGAATGTTACTAAGGATTAGCGTTAAACAGCCCTTTCCATAGTAGGCCACTAGCTTATCGTTAAAAACTTCAATTGCAAATTTGTAATAATTTATAAGTGCAATACAGCAGACTTGTTATTCAATTAGTGCTAAAAATAAATTATGGATACTCAACCGTCCATGAACCGAACGCGTAGAACCAATTAACATACCCCCTCAATAAAAGAAAATTTTGGGGGATAAAGACTAAGAGGAACAAGGTGTCATAAAAATTTTTTCCACATCTCGTTTGGACCTGAATGAATTACACATTACGTAGGGCGAACCACATTCATTCAGTTGAACTGAGTAGAAAGTGCTAATAGACAGTTGAATTGAACTTTAATAAAGGCAAAATTTCAGGAGGGCTGACAATTAAGGATGTAACTTGTGCCATCAAATTAGACAAATGAAGCTGAAGTTTGCCCAAGAATAAAATTAGCACAGATATTGGATGTAGGGTTCAGTGTAAGGTTGATCAGGATCAGCTTGACCTACCACCTCTGCATGAACCCAGATGTCTCAGCGCAATCGCTTTTCTGCAAATAAAATCAACTGTTTCCTCTTTAATCAGACATTCACTATCAATCTTGTTCTCTCACAAAAAGAGATTCGATCAAAACATTCTGCCCGACATGATAGAGGAAATGAACTCATCTTAAATCAACCGTGGGCAAAGAGCGCAACACCTAATAATGTAATCTTAATAAATTAATTAATTAATAACTATTAGATATCACACTTAAAATCTACATTCGATGGATCTCTAATTGCTTTACAAGAAAATCCTGTAACTGGTTCACTTACAAATTACAGAGCACAATTAAAGGACCTTCTCCCCCAAGGCTCGAATGAAGTACATCAGGCCAAAAGAGAGAAGTAAAGGTAATGAGACTTGCAATTGTGATGGGATTTTCGAGGCGTAAATAAAATGCTGCCCTGTATACAGCCTAATTTGAATGCGGAAGTGAATATCTTGGCTTAATTTAAATAAGTTATGGGGAAAATTATTAAACTGTTTGAAATGCACCCAAAGCATAAGGATATATGGTTAACAGCATAGTGAACAACAATGACTGGCATTTATGAAAGTAAGGGTAATTTATTTATAAGAGGAATTCCTTCCCTACCAGCACGCATTTTTGATTTAATGGGGTAGATCATCGGAAGACGTGATCTTCAGTGAAATTAGCATAGAAAGTGGGTGGAAGAACATTTTAAGAAAACTAGAAAGAGCAAAGGTGATAAATGGAGTCACTTTTACACCTCCTCAATGTTAAGAGAGATTAACCATTTGTCAAACACAAGAGAAACATAAACCAAAGAACCAAAAATAGGAGGTACGCGATTTAACACAGTTTTTGCTAAAAATCTGTTAAATCCACTTACACGGAGTTCGATTAAATGTACACAAAGAAAAATTACATCAATAAATCCTGAGCAAAAACCTCAGATGATAACTTGCGAGTCTAGTTAAGCAGGAGAAAAACTAATACTAGGAAAATAAGGCTAAGTAAAATTTATACATCTTTTAATAGGAAATCACTTTAATAAAATGATTGAGAACAACTTCAAATAGAATTTGTGATTCCCTTTATGCTAATAAAAGAAAATATAGGGTAATTTTTCTTCAAATTAGATTAGAATATTTACAAACATAAAAGCACGTAAAACATAATTGAATCTTAAGTGAAATACTAAAATTTTAGCGTTCCCAATATGAGTTGAAAACTTTTACTTTAAACATTGTAGCTTGCACTGAATACGATAATTCGAAATTGGTAATGTAAAAGCTGCAATTCATTTGAAACAGAGAACTGAAATATTTTCCTCTTCATTTACATGAAAGAATATTTTTCCCAAATAGACCACTTATAAGAAGGATTGCGTATGCCTTATTGCATTAAGGGAAAGTGGTTAAGAGCGTTTCAACTATTAACAAAATTATGATTGTCTTAAAAGGTAATTAAACAAACCTTTTTTTCGTTTGCTTCGAGGGCAGGAAGGACATGTTTAACTTGACGTTCGACAAGAACACCCTCTATCAACCGGAAACATTTGCGTTCAGCATCAACTCCTTTAAGAACCTTGATGACCATACTAAAAATAGAGAATCCGTTTAAGTCTAGATGAGCAAAAGGTTTGCCAAATAAAAAGCGAAGGGATAAGCGATGGAAGTTACTGAGCCAAGCATTGAAAGAAATTGAAACCATCAAAAAAATAAATAAGTCAAGGAAAGCACTTTAAAGCCTTAGAAACAGCATCGAACTACTTATGCAAAAAATCACATGGTAGAGGAGTATATCAAATACACCAAATATTTACTTGTGTTCCCTCTGGTCCATCTCAAGACCAGTAATTTTATTAGCAATAGCCCTTTGTTCATATCGTAGTTTTTGGAAACCCTCTACAATCTGCTCCTCAGTTAATGGCTTATTCTTTTCTTTGGCTGCGGTCATATCTCGCTGCCGTCAACATACACAAACTATTTGCACACGAATAGTATTGGTTTCCAAAATGCCATGGTTTCTCGTTCTTGAGAAAATAGTTAATACTCCTAAGATTCATCGAAATATATACATTTAATTTGTATATCAAGTTTTTTAAAATAATTTATTTCTGAATTTACGTTTTGTCTTTTATGAAAATATATAGAAGTAGTCGGCAATAATGAAGACATCTGTTGCCCCAATGGTGCTACTCCGTTGCATATTCCGCTAAGCATTAATAAAGGGGCTAACAATGTAAAATATATGGCTATATATATTTTTCTTAATGCATAATTCTCATGTAAATCGTCAATAAATTGTAATCTTCAAACTATTCTTGCTAAATACAATTGAAGTTGATAGCACTTGAAAGACCATAAATGGCCTAATATATATTTTATTAATCACTTGATTTTTGGTCCTTTATAATCGTTTGATTTGGATCTAAGCATTACAAATTCTAAAAAATATATTCATAAAACTCTTCTACGACCATTGCTACATCTGCCTTATCGTCCATGTCTCCACATAGCTTTCAAAGGCCTGAAAAAATTGTTTGCAATTTCTAACATCATTATGATCTGTTAGCTGACAATACGACAATCAATAATATGGACCTTGTTTTCAGTGGTTTTCAAAGGCATGATTATCTCAAAATATAAAAGATTTTTCATGGCTAGTTTATTTTTATATTTTGGGTAGATTTCAAAAATTTTATTTACTAAACACTTGTGTTTTCTTTCAATATGAGGGTCGCGTACATAGGCATAAACTCCAGTACAATTTGGCTTCCAGAATCTTTTATGGATATGGATCAATTCGTTAATGAAGGAGGCAGAACATCCATCCCATATACTGTAAATTTCTATTTTGGGTACAAAATACGATGTCTTCTCTAATTTACTCAATCGACTGTGAACCAGGTAAGAAATTAAATTGGACCAAAATAGAAACTAGTATTCAATTAGTCATTGCATCTGAAAACTTATTCAATCATCACTTATTTGCGATGCAAGGATTTTTGTGTTTGATGCACATCAGGGGTCTTTAAAGAAAAAAAACAAGATTACCCCAAGGTTAGCTTTAGTGTTTAACTTGTGGATGAATATCGTCTAATAATTTTCGTTCAAACGATACCAAGTATGTAGAAATATGAAAATATAAGCACTAAAGCATTGAATAGTAATGAATAAATGGTCATTTCGTTTTGTTATTTTCTTAATCATGCTGAACCATCTGAAGTATGAGAATGTACTTTATTAATAAACTCAGTATAAGCGTATCCCGATTAGAAAAAGGATAATATTATCAATGACATTGATAGTTATGGTTGGGTAACTTATTACTATAAAATATAAACAATTAAATATAATTTTTTAATTTCTTATAAAATATGTTTGCTTCAGAATGCATTTGGCTAGATGCTCCTGCAAGGTGAATGTATGGTACAATGGAATTAATGAGTAGCAAATTAATTACTAATTGTTGTACTTTAGCCCATGATTTTGTATTGGAATTTATAATCTCCCGAACAATTGTTGAGCTTTAGTTTCATATTAGATTATAAAGCAACTCGATTATTCAGATTCAGAAGAACTAATTTTTCCTTTCATAATCTTTTATTTAGATATGCATAGGTGATAATCTTCTAGATGTTAAATATTGAATAATGAGTATTTCATAGTTTGAAAAGACTTTTGAAATGGTGGAGTCCTCACAAGTGTTGATTAAGAGTTGATTCTATTTCTTCGGCCTTAAGGGAAGTGAGTGCTCAATGATGCTTGGCTGGGGTGTGTGATAGACTTAACTCCACGTGGAGCACACTGGGCAACGTACACTTATACGGCAAAAGTCTATTGATTCGTAGTTGACTTCTGACTTCAAACTACTATGGGTCAACTATTTGTCATATTCGATCCCTCCACAGTACTCATCTTACCTTTTTTATGCCTTTGTGTCTGTTTATCTGTCTCTAATACATCTGTGAATCACTCGTCTGTTCCCCCTCTCGACTTTTTGCCACTTTGATGTTCCTCCTTTGTCTGTCTCCTTTACATCTGTGAATCATTATTCTGTTTTGTGTCTGTCTCTAACATCTGCAAATCATTAATCCCTCCACTGTCTCTGGTCTGTCTCTTTCACATCTGTTAATCATTATTCTGTCCCTATCTCTCTCGACTTTTTGCCACTTTGATGTTCCTTCTCCTCTCTGTAAAGCCCCGAGGTCAACTCTAGGAGTAATGATAACTATTAAAACGCCTGCCATTTGATATAAATAAATGTTGCTTGGCTAATTCAAGTCAACTACAGTCTAAATATACAAATTAGCAATAAATATTGTCTTAAATGATTTGAAAATAATTTTAAAATTTAAAATTCCGAATAGTTTTTCAAAAAGTTTTAAATATGTTATCTAATTCAAATATGTTTGTCCTTCAGAATGTTTATACGAGACACTATATTTACACTATTTTGACCGCAACCACATCAAAGTTATTCGTCATGTTCTATTCCAATGAAATACTTTCTTTAAAGAGGGGGCGTTTTGGCGTTTTGTGGTAAACCATTATTCTTTTTTATTTTTTAAAAGGTTGGCTGCGACTAGAGGCATTAATCATGTAAATAAGCGTGATATTGTTTCCGTCGATATCGTTAGTTCTTGGTAAGTCAGATGATTCGAATTTCAATTTTAATTTAGCTCTGAATTGCTCGAATTTGTAACCGGGTCAAAGAAAACCCGTTTTTCTCTTTATCTTTCGGCTCAACTAATGTATGGATTATGTCGTATCTACGCTGAAAAACTTATCATAACCCTTCGTAAGTCTCATCTTTTTTACTATATAGTTAAATCGCTTCATTTGATTTAATATGCAAAAATCGCATTTTTATGGCAAAATATAACTTTAAGAGCCATCCTTGAATAGGTGAAGCTAACGATCTTTATGCCAGATCGTTGGTTTCTTTTCGTCCTAACGTAATTCAAATTGACGAAGTTCGGTAAACGCGGTTTCGTTTTTCGTTAATATGCCACTTTCGTTTTTGTTATTATTCCGAGTGATGCCTATTAAATTTTCCAACCTTACTATTTTTTTTTACTATTTTCTCATTCGTTTTAGGCGACCCCATAACAAACAAAGAACCGATGTTGATATTGAACTACCTCTAACATCATATGGAGATTTCGGTTCGTTCAACATTTCTGGCCAACTGATGCAATCTCAAGACATTGAAATAGTTAGTTAAATTTAGCGTATTCTAATAGATCTTTTAGCCTGTGCACAATTTGGAGAATTCATTTTATCTTCAAGCTCGTGCTGAAGACATAACTCTTATTGATGCTTCAGTTACGCCAAGGGTTTGTTTGATTTCCACGGTTGTAGTATTTTGCGAATATAGACCCATTCTAGTTACGCCTTTGGTGAAGACTTTCAAACTGAATTTTTGTCCGAACTCTTGGGAGACAAGAGTCAAAAGCAAGTTCCTGACCTATTTCAGGATGAAGGGTAACGCCTCCAATATAAAATTAATTTATTTTGCAGTCATCGGGGTAATATTGATCAAATTGCTGAAGAAAGGGAGAGGTAAAGTGAATTTTTATCTTTTGAAGAGCTCCTTTAGTCGACTTACAGTAGAACAGCTACTGCCACTTGAAAGACCTTGTGAAGCGTTAATTCCACAGATACGACCAGAGAATACCGCCTCAATCTATGAGTAAGCTTGTCTTTGTATTCTATTTAACCTACTATCTTTTCTGCCTTCTTTTAGTCTTGAACAAGACCACCAGAAGTCGTCTGAGCGGTGAGTTTTTTTTCTATTACTCCTGTGATGATATTGGAGTGCATATGACGATTGTATCGTTTGAAATGGCATCCAATCCTTCTCTGAGGGCGTTTTAAACTCCTTAAATTATTTTTTTTGGTGGCTTTATTGGTAGGTTGGAAGTAATTAGAGAACAGAGCGAACAGCAAGCCAACGAGACCACAACATTAAATCAGTGAGTATATTTTTTTGAAATCACTTACTATGAGTAGTAGTGGCTTCCTCCGTCAACTCTTTCGAAAGCTGTCTTCTTTTCAACCGCGTTGTTATCTTCTTGTAGACCCGAGGCTTCAGCTTTAGTGGAAGTTCCTGAACAAACAAGTTCTAGGTAATGCAATATTGTCAGTGTTTATTGTCACTCATAGCTTGCAAAAGTGGCCTAACTTCGACCCTCCTATTTCAGAACTCAGTTGGCAGAATCAGTGAAAGGGCCGTCTACACTTGATGGGTTTGTTTATTTCTTTTCTTTCACGTTCGAGTGCCCTGTTCAGCTTCTTAATGCGTATTTTTTTTTACTTTCCACTTTAGGGTTCAACAGCCAGAATTGAGCACCGTCCCATCTCTTCATGAAGGGTGATTTGATTAGCCTTATTTGAGTTCTTTTAGCGGTGAACGAAGTAGTCTATGCCACATTTCATAGTTTTGTCTAACAGTGTTGGGAGGAGAAGGAGGAGGAGCATCAATGTGGCAAAATGTCGAGAGGGGGGGGGGTAGAATAATGATTCATAGATGCAAGAGAGTCAGACAGACACAAAGGCTGAGAAAGGTGCGGTAAGTACCATGAAAGGGGTCGAATTTGGCATTCAGTGGTGTCATGGTAGTTAGAAGTGAGAAGTCAACTGCCGGTTTATAGACCCTTTTGTGGTATGAGCATACGTTGCCTAGGGTGCACCACGTTTTTCATTATTGTTATTGAAAATGTTCCTGCTTGTTGTAGGAGTCAAGTTCCCGGACTCGTCGCTGAAGGTCCGATTGTTATTGATGGGTGAGTCTCTAAGGCACACTGATGAGAAATTCTCTTCTTCCAAAGCTCCCAGTTTTCCATATTTTGGTTTTGTTTTTTGTGGGTTTAAAGGTGATGCGGTTCGAATTGAAACATGCGCTAAACTGGGGGATCCATAAATACATTACTTCCAGTACTTAGTTCATATAAATAGGGGCCTATGAAGGTGTGTGTTTCGAATTTTTAGTAGATTTTGCTGAGTGATATGGTTGGGGCTAAAATACTGATCTGTCTTTTCGGGTGGCTTACGCGATGTGGCGAACTAAAGGCATAAATAATAATTACCCGAAATTACCATTCCCTCACATTTTGGGTGCTTGAGTTCAATCAATTTGTTTATATGCTTTGTTGGCTGATTAACGGGAGCATGAGGTTACTAATTAGGGTGCTAAGACTACTAGACCCATTGTTGTACAGACGAGTGAGCTCCCACAGGACTAATGAAACGAAATCAAATCGTTGAAGCTAAACGCGGGAAAAACATCTCCAAGATATTTATTTACTTATATCAGATGGCAGGCATTTTGATGACTTAAGGCTTCACAGAGAGGGGAAGGAACATCAAAGTGAAAGAAAGTAGAGAGGGGGGGAAGGAAGAGTGTTTCAAAGACGAAGGTGAATAGTCGAATATGATTTACAGTGGGATCATGGCAGTTTGAATTCAGAAGTCAACTACCGGTTTATAGACTTTTTGCCGTATGAGTATACGTTGCCCAGGGTGCACCACGTGGAGGTACGTCTATCGCATACCCCCATCTCCAAGATATCGTCGAGCGTAAAGAGTTGGGTATTGGATAATCTACGCTAAGGCATTGCTCTAATCTACAAGCAGTACTGTGTGTGTGCGTGTTGGTGTCAGTGGATGTGCGAGAGCATTTTAGGTGAGTCACAGGGACAAGGACGCGTGCAAAATGACAATGACACGAAGGCGGGGGGGGGAGGTTGGATTGGGGAGGCGATAAACCCTTCTGACAGAGAGATGGTTAATTCACAAGAGTGTGATGGCGAAAACTTAATGTTTTCTCATAAAGAGCGCGTCTAGGGGGTCACACTTTGAAAGGTGCACAAAGTCACCCTTCAGCCTGAAGTTGCCAATTAGGAATTCCATTGAACCTCTTCCTCCAAGTTAGAAACAGAGGCGTCTATCAATGCCAAGGACGAATAGAAATTTCTCTTGACACTGGAGTTAAGTTTTGGGCAATATTGACTAGACCACTCAGCGAAAAATGCAAATAATGTGCAGTTCATTGCACTTCTCATGTAATTATGAGTTGATTTTGTCTGTTAAGTCATTCAAAGAGCTGGCAGAAATTGTAGGCATGACCCTGGAATTCTCCACTAAATTCTCTACTCGTTCCAGTGCTGGAGATTTAGTTTACCCGCAAAGATGTCAAAGCGCGTTGTTGGCTTCATACCGAGGCAATGGAGACAGAATCTCTTCAATGTTCCTTCTCAGTGCCTACAATACGCATTTGAAGTGGCACTTGTGGAATACCTTCCAATAGTCATTTTGTTTTCATTGAAATTTAGTAGTATCTAATGCGTCAGTGCACTTTATGAGCTCCTACTGGCATCCATTCGAGTCGATTTTTAACTCAATTCGTCCATCTCCCTTGCAGTCCACAAATTCCAGAGGATACTCAGGCGCAGCGGCAAGCACAGCACGAGAAGTGAGTTTTCTTAAAGTAGGATTTCGATTCATCTAAGTACAATCATTGATCGTGAACCAATATTGTGACTCAATGGCCATTCAATTGGCGTTCCTTTTTGTCATTGGATATTATGGTCGATAGAACACTTAATTATTATTAACCGCCCTTATGTCTCTTATTCTAGCCCACAAGTCAACGAGGAAACTCTTGTAGCACCTAGTCCAAAACGCCGACGCGTGGAAGAAAAAGACGCAACCACAAACGCCTCAAATCGCAGTATTTCCTTCGATCTTGGCAACGCTCAACCTTGCGCTACGTCGTCTGCTATCAGGTAGGCATTAGGAATTCTTCGTCTTGTTGATTGGAGGAGCATATCATTACGTGCCAATTTTTTGCTAAGACCAAAGATGCTAACGCCATCACCAAGATTGCGAATAGTTCCACAGTCCCAACTCTCCGTCGTCCAAAACCCTCGCCGTCCACCAAATCGAAGACGTGGAAAGTATCACAAATTCCTTATAGACGAGAAGCTTCAACTCTCCAAGACTGAGATGCTTAAAAACATCCAGAATCCCCGCGAAATTCTTCGTACCAGAGCTGAATATCGCGCTCTAGGGGCCTCATTAATGCATCCACGACGTGCGCGTTCACGCTATCCCGATCGTTTGCTTGCCCTTCCGACTAATTTCGAGTTGTCAATCAGCCAAACACTCTCTCAGATGTGGCGTGCCAAACGTCAGCTCTGCGAATTCGGGAGGTTGGATGAGGATTTGCTTCCGCAAAAATCTCAACCTCCCTCGACGCGCCATTCGAAGGGCTATTTGTGGAGCATTCGGGAATCGGGTTTGGAATCTTCAAAAGAAATGGTTCGTGGTGGCGTAAGTGAGATTTCTATGGAGCCTTTAGGCCTGCGAGTATCGTCATTAGCTCTTCAAGACCAATCAGCTGCAGAAAAATGTAGTCTGGCGGTGCCTTCTCAAAGTATCGTTATTCCTGAAGAGCAAATTCAACAGAAACCGCAGGAGATGAATACTGAAACAACAATGAATCCGGCCGAAGGTAGATCTAGGACTTTTGTTTGATTTTCACATTTTTCTCCTTCATTAGAATTACCTCAACGCGAGAATCAACCTGTGGAGCCGATTCCTGAAGGTACGTGATATACTACTTTAACGAAATAAAGTACTATTTGGTTTTGTTGATCACTTATGGTTGTATTGTCTAATTTTTCCACCAGTTCAAATTCCTGAAGTGATGCAAATAGAAGAACGGCACCCGATAACGATTTTACCTGAAGGTAACTATTGTTGTTTATTTGGCCTCTATTTCAATTGCATTGTTGCCTTCGACAGAGTGGGAAATACTGACACATGTATCCTAGACGCGTCTATGCCTTTGTAGCTGTTGCTTTAATAACTCTGTAGTTTGCCTTGTTTAGTTTTGATCGAAAAAAAACTTAATTTGCAAATAAGGAGTGGTTAAGATGCAGACGTAATGGGCAATTGAACCAGGGTGATTTCTGTGGCAGTTAGTCCCTCAGAATCCGAGTCGACTATGACGCAGCGATTTTGTAGTGGGCTAATGGTGGAACTAGATCTCCTAGCAATCCTAGTTTTTTTCTGTGATTTATGTCCTTATTTGTACATATTTTTGGCATTTTGCTAATGAGGAATCGACCTCAAGTAAGCAAGAGGTTTTGAGCATATCTTATAAGCCATTCTTACCCAAGATTGTTGGAGCTTTGAATTCGCATTATTATGTGGACAAGTTGTCGCATGCATATTCCGTTCATGTCTCTCCTAAGGCAGGTCTTGTTTGATCGTGTGCCTTGTTCAACCTTAGTTGATTTGGTCAATTTTTATGTTATTCATCCAGAACTTATTTGCATAAGGGGGGGGGGCGTGGGTGGGGGGTGGGAGAGAGGTGTGATTTCTTAGTTTTATTTTTAAAAACTCACAGTCCTCTTTGTCATTTAATCTTTATTTGCCAGATTTGCCTATTTTTTCTTGTGTCTTATTTTTGCTGCATGTAATCAGCTCCAGCAATCCAACAACCCGAAACGATTTCTGGTATTCCAGAGTTTTACACCAGCGAGTCGGCACTCTTGGTGTGAGTTCTTTTCCTCCAAAATCTGTAAAGCTTACTCAAAATTGTATCCCAACTGCTTTCACCTGCAATTTTCCACTTTTAGGACTATTGAAGCCGCCCTTAAAGGGGGAGAACCAACGGTTGACTTCTCGCGTTTGGTTTCAAAGTGTACTTCCAGAAAGCACGCTGCCACGACCTTCCACCATTTGCTCTGTCCGTTTGATCGCCTTTATATATTTGCTCTGTGTCCAATTTCTATTTTTGAAAAATAATTGCAGCCTTTATTTCTTCTTTTCAGGTCTCTTGAAAGCGAAGTGTGTTAGAGTCACTCAATCGGCTCCATTTCAACCCATTTTTATCAGCCTTGCGGAGTCATAATGCTTTGTAATCTCTTCTAAGCGTTTATCGTGTACTTTTTTACAAGTAAAATTTAATAAAATCTTTATTTTGCAAAGAGCTCAGCTTTTCGGTTGGTTTCACAGAAGTCAGCTGCATTGCCTTCAAGATTTCGATGTAAAGAGGAGCAGAGTTCAACTACCTACAAGAATGCACTTTTAAATGTACTTGAGTTGCCGTAAAAGTTCTTTTGCACCTGAATTCAAGTTTTGATTAGCAAATATCGGCTAAATGGAATTTTCATTTAGAAATCGTCTGGCGTACTGATCAGATTCTTCATCGCTGCTTAGTGAATAATTAAGTTGGGCAGTAGCATCAACTTAATTGTTACCAATTCCAACTCTAAGGCGGATGACTGACCTATTTTAATTGCAACTTTAACCGAACACCGAAATTAGTTATTCTTTCATTTGCTTTCGCCATTTTCCTATCTTGGAGCGTCAGACTGTTTGGGAATTAACTATCAAGCCATCATGGGAACTTCTAGTCTTTGGAAAGTGGGACTTAGAGCGTTTCAAATCTACTTATAACCGGAAGTAAAGTTAGAGGAAACATCAGAAACCTAAAGTTTCTTTTTCCCACTAGCCACCAGACAAGAAGTTATTTATTTCAATTGGCAGGAATTTTGATAGTTATCGTTAGCCCTTTAGTTGGCTTCGGGCTTCACAGAAGGGAGGTGCATTAAAGTGAGAAAAAATCGACAGGGGATAAGAAGACCGTTTCACAGATGTAAAAGACAGACAGACACAAAGGCAGAGAAAAGGTAAGATGAGTACTGTGAAAGGGGTCGAATATGACATACAGTGGGGTCATGGTAGCTTGAAGTCAGAGGTCAACTGCCAGTTAATAGACTTTTTTGCCGTATGAGCATACGTTGCCCAGGGTGCACCACATGGAGGTAAGTCTATCGCACCCCCCACCAGACAAGAAGTAAAGTCCCGTAACGGGAACGTGATTGGTAAGTGGGGTTGGAGGGGAGGAGGGAAAGCGGAGATGGTACGTGAACGTTTCAATCCGAAGGGAAGAACTGTGAGGCAAGAGAGAGAGAGAGTGAGTTCTTCGGTTTGGACACTCTATTCAACAAGAGAACATAATTTTTACATTAAAAAGAAAGTTGACGAATTTTGTATCTTACAAAACGCTAATCGAGAGAAATGTAGAGGATTGCTATAAGGAATGAGTCTTTGATGGCATCTAATTTCGACTTACTGCTTTTGGTCAGCAAATACAGGATGATCAAAGTAAAGGCG